AGGATTCCGGTGGGGTGGTGATGCAGGCAGTTCCTTGTCCAATGCAACTTCTCATCAGAGTGTCTTACAGAGTGCAGAATTGACAGACATGTGCTTAGACAGTAGAAATTTCTAGAAGGCAGGGATGGGTCAGCTTTCATATCCTTAATACCTAGAACATAGTTGGTGCTTCATAAATATTCAAGGAGTGAGTGTATGTGTGTTTGTGTTGGGGGAGACTTCAAAGAGGCAGAACTCAACTCCCTATGGAGATAAACTGTCTAATAGCGTCCATGGACATTACTTGGTTTCTCAGGCTGTGACAAATCCCACAGCTCTGGAGAGTTCAAACAAGAAAACAGAGGCTAGTCAGAAATGCTCTGCCCAGACAATCCAGGCACTTACTAGGACTGACGAACCTATCAGGTCAATAAACACTTGCAGGGCCAGGTGCAGAAAGAGGAGTTGCAGGTAAGAAATACAGGCAGTCTCTGGTCTTAAATAATTCTATTCAAGAAGGGAGCTTGAGATAGAAACAAACTAGAATCCAAGGCAGGAAAAGATGAAGAACTAAGGAGAATTACAGACCTAGAGTTTTGGGAATAGCCTAAAGGAAGAAGTAATTAGTTGTGAGGGAATAGGGGAATCATGGAAGGCTTGCTGGATGAGGTGGTGCTTGATGTGGATTTTTATAGCATTTCCACAAGCATAAAAATGAGGAAATGACACTCTATACCAACGTATCAAGATAACAAAAAAATGTCAGAAGGGTGGTAACCAGATTCTGGAACGCCTTCAATCATACACAAGGTATTCGGATGTTACTCTGGGGAAAATGGATGTTTTTGAGGTGGAGGCAATATGTTTTATTGAGATAATTCTAGAAAGAATGAAAGTTGAATTAGAGATTGTCTTTGTCTCTTTGAGCTGCTATAACAACAACAACAACAAAAACATAAACTGTATGGCTTATGAAAAGCAGAAATAGGGACCAGCAGTTAGTAATGACTATGTCACTGGACTCCTACGTAGTCGACCACGGTTCGCGTCCCAGACCCGGTGGCTTAAAACTCACGCTGGGCGCGTGTGTGTGCGTGCCCAAGATCCCGAGAGGAGAACAGAGGAGAAGGGATTGAGGCATGGCCATCCCCCCTGGGGAGTGATTTCCTGCTTTCTGTCTCTGTGTCTCTCTCTGTCTGTCTGGCGAGCGCACGTGCCCTATAGCAAAAACCTCTCCAAAAAAAATTAAAAATAAAAAAGGCAGAAATATAATTCCATGATGCTGGAGGCTGGGAAGCCCAATAACAAGGCATGGATAGATTCAGTGCTGATTGAGTGTCCACTTTCTGGTTTGTAGAAGGTGCCTTCTCATTGTGACCTTACATGGTGGAAGGGCCAATACAGTTCTCTTTTAAGGCACTAATCCCATTCATAACGGCTCCACCCTCATGACATAATCAGCTTCCAAAGGTCTTGCCTCCCAATACTGTCAACATAGGAATTTGGGTGGGGGTATATGTATTCAGACCATAGCAGAGAGATAAAGAACACAGCTACATTTAATAAGTGTTTACCACATGCCAGTCACTGTTGTAAGCCACTTTCATTCTGTCTCACTTCACCTGTAAGTGAATGAAATAATCTAATTTTACAGATGGTAAAACTAAGACACAAAGAAGTTAAGCCAGCTGTCTAAGGCCACTGTCAATGGAAATCTGAAGGGTCCCAACTAGAAGACCTCCAGAGCCTCTTGGCTGAGGGGCAGGATGGAGAGATGAGAACAAAGGAACAGGTGAAAGAGCATTTCCAGAGGAGGGAATGATCTCCTGGAGTCTAATGGGTTAGTACTGAGAGAGGATGGGAGGTTTGCGAATCAGAATTCAATGCTTCTGAGGTGAGGAGACATATCAGAGATATCCAGTGCACCGTCCAACTTCAGGGGTCCCTGCATGATCTCTGAGGCCTTCCTTCCCATTCCCTAAGAGAAAACAAGCTAGGTGGGCACTGAGAGGTCTTTGGTCTCTACATTTCAGTCAGGGTAGATACCCTGTTCTTCAGAGAGGCACTTTCAGTTGACAACGTACTCCAGCAACTGAGTTGTTAAAAAAGAAACTGAGGCAGGTAGTCCTAGAAAGCTTCTGCTATCGCCGCATCGAGGATGATGGAAACCTATGATTTGATGTTTCTTTTTTTGCTTCATTCTTCCACTCTCTCCTTTCACCCCACACATCAATGCAAACACAATTGCACATGCATGCGCGTGCGCGTGCACACACACACACACACACACACACATACACACCAGGTATAAAAGGGCCCCTTTGCTCAAGCATTTCTCTGGATCAGACTTGATACTGTTTACTAGGAGGGAGTGCAAGCAGAGCAGAG